GGCATTTACGGGCTGGACACCTGTTTCACTAGGATTAAGCACGAGGAGCCTGTGCAGCTAGGCAAGGCTATCAGCCCAGTCCCCAACTGGGGGCTTCTTTTTGACAAGGCTTAGCTTCAGGTGAAGATTAGCCCGAAGTGAAGGCTAATTCTAAGTAGGTTTCTATATATAGCTAATGCATTGGAGCCAAAAATATTCGCTTTAAGGTGCTTACAGCGAAAGCTGACTGTAAATTGATTTTTGTTTTGTTTTTTTTTTTATATTTCAGCTTTAAGCTGATGCTAAGTAGATTTCTAAAAATAGCCGATGGCGTGAAGCTTTAAGCATCATGTGTTAGCTTTAAGAGGCTTAAAGATACTGAAAGTGAAAGCCAAGTCTAAGTAATAATTAGCTGTATAGCTAGTTAAGCTATGCTTTAAGCTTTATATATTAGCTTTATTGCGATCGAAGTAAAGTAAAGTATATGAAGAACTATACTCTTAATGCACCGCTGTTTTAAGTATGAACGTATGCGTAAAGTATAAGCTTAGTGTAAGTATATTACTTATAATATTTATAAAGCTTTTGTAACTGAGCCTTAAGCTTCGAATAGTAAATTTAAGGTACTTGAAATAAAAGGTGCTGTATATAACAATAATATTAATATAAGCTTTCGGGTTTTAACATTCTTGTAGCGAAATCTCAGATTGAGTATGTATGTTTCTAGGCATAGCTTTACACATTATTCTAATTAGCTTTGAGTTTTGAATATTACCTTTAGTGAGCTTAAAGTGAAAATGAAGTTAAAGAGGCAAAAATAAGATATCTATATATAATTAATAAGTGTTCAGGGTAAATAAAGCACAAAAATAAATTACTATATTATCTATGCTGCATTTATTTACTTTTAATAGGCCTCAACTTTAAGTGTAATATAATTGTGATTCTGTACATTAACTGCTTGTATATAACTAATTCAGTAAAACTCAAAGCCATAAGTAAAATCTTACTACAAACTTTAGTACGTATCCAAAGATTATTTATCTACGCACAGCAATTCACATTCACAGCGTATTCCCCTTTCAAGGTGTTGCAGGCATCTGAATTCAATTCAAGGTCACATTCTTGGCTTCTTGGCAAGTGAGCCGCAGTTGGCTCACAGTCTGCTTAAGACGCCAGTTGGATGGGGGCCAATGTCTGCACGTGATAGCAGATATTCTATTGATTTGCTTCTGAAGTTGCCCTGACAACTGCCACAGACAGATCAGTTTTGTCAAGTCTGTTTAGTATAATATATTTTGTTTACAAGTTAGTTCAAAGTGATTTGGCTGTCAGCATTTTCCCAGAAATTCAAAATTATAGCAATTAGATGAAGCTTGAATTGAACTAAAAACAAGCACTCGATAGAGCCATTTGATAAGAGCTCTTTGAGCTGACTTTAATTGACCTCGATTGCACTCGAATATGTTAACTGTTTGCTAATGCACTCAATGACTGCAAGAGAGGGAATGCGAGAGAGAGAGAGAGAGAGAGAGAGAGAGAGAGAGAGAGAGAGAGACAGAGAGAGAGAGAGAGATAGAGAGAGAGAGATAGAGAGAGAGAGATAGAGAGAGAGAGATTTAGTTAGTTAGTAGTATCCCATGGCGAGCCATGCACATAAACCACTTGACAAATTCGAGTCGAGTCCGAAGCACACGCGTCGTATGCGTAATAAACCGAAAGAGCAACAAATTTGCAATCAATCGAAAGCAGAGCAAGGGTGACAGCAACAAGTGAGACAAGGATTGGGGTTGGGGTTGGGGGTGTGGGTGTGAGTGTGAGTGTGGGTGAACCCATTGCAATTTTAATGATATATTAAATGCCAGAGCAGCTCTAACGAGCAGCAATCAATGTTTACAGAATCGAACGGCACACAGACCACAAAGCGAGCATAAATAATTCATTTAGATATGGGACAGGGTATTGAATTACATGACTCTCTATCTGTTATATGTATGTGTGTGCGTGTGTGTGTGTGCGAGCGAGTCCTTTTTGTGTCTAGTGTCTGCTGCTGTGTCTACGGGCACTTTTTTATGGCACCCCGGGGATGTGACGCCTTATGAATGCCATTTTAATGCACATACAAAAAGGAAAAAACTTTGACTATATTGTCAATCGAACGGAGGGAGAGAGAGGGAGAGGGAAAGAAAGTGATAATAAAAGAGATAGAAATGGAAATGTGACGTTTGTCTAGCGCATTGATACAAAGCTATTCATATGCTGTAACACATACGTAAATCTCTATCTATCAAAGCAATGTGCGTGCGTCATGCCAGTGATATGGACGACAGCGGGAGGAGCGGGAGGAGCAGGAGGAGCAGCAACAGCAGCTGGAGTAGGAGGAGGAGCAGCAGCAGCCGCCGCACAAAGYGGCAGATAAACTGAAAGTTGAGTTGGGACTGTGGGGCTGCGGGGCGGGGGGGCTGGGCGGCGGCTGGCAGAGGTTGGGCCTGCTAGTATATCAGACGCAAATGTATATTTGACGCACCACAAAACATTTATCGGGTGGTTCGCTCAATTTGCCAAAATCCAAACGTCTATCGAGCCCATTCATTTCGCTCGCTCGCTCTCTCTCGCTCGCTCCCACAGTTTTCGTATTGATTTTGCAAAACTTTTGCCCGCGATACTCTCACCTAGAGCATTCAAATAAAATGACTCAGGATAAGATATGGGAATATGAAGTCTCTTTTTGCATTTGATTGATGCTGATTAGATAAGTTGATATCGGTTTGCTTTAGACTTTTAACTGCTTCTCACTTGCGTATTTATAAATATAAAAATCGTTTTAGATTTAAATAATGCAGTTAAGTTGTTACTGATAAGGCTGTTTAACTATCGCTCTGCTGTTGAGACTTTCTTTGATATTTTTATTCAAGTTTCATATGAGTTTCTGTCTCTTTCTAAATCTCTCTCTCTTTTTCGTTAATTTTATCTCTCTATCTTCCTTTCCCACTCTATCTCTGTCTGTGCCTCTCTATCTTAATCTCTCTCTCTCTCTCTCTGTCCCTCACTCCATCAATCTCTCTGCCTCCCCCTCTCTATCTTTGTCACTGCGTTTAGGCGTTAGGACTTGTTATTTATAAATTATAACCTTTAATAATTACTAATTTTATTAATTTATAATTTAATTTAACTTAAAAAACTTCAACATATTTATAGATTTTTTAAAAAATATTTTATGTTGCATAGATTTTCTTAAATATATTTATAGTTATTTATAATTTTAATTATTTCTCTGCAAGTGTATTAAATTATTCGCCCTGCTCAAAAAACTTTTTCTTGCTATTCCTTTAGTTATTTTTTGTATGCTCCTCCTGCTGCTCCTCCCCCTCCTGCTGCTGGCCATTGAAGTGACCCTCGAAAGTAGTCTAGGGCCTTTTCCGGGCCAAACCGCCTCGAAGCAATCGTATTTGTTTGGATTCGCTCGTTTGGGCTGTAAAGTTTTCTTTTCTTTTTCTGTGTGTGTGTTTTGTTTTTGTTTTTGTGCTGAGGCAGTTTTTTCTATGGTCGGCTAATTAGCTGTGCGCTCTCGTCATCATTGACGTCATTTGCATGCATTGCGCCGAGTCAAATTTCAATCAAAACACAATTTGCGCAAAGACTTGCACTCACTTGCAGCCACGCCCCTCCCGCCCACACACTTAAGCTGTTGTCTAAAGTTTTGAGGCTTTTGTAATGCCTTTTGCTTAACAGTGGACTCAGCGGGGGCGGAGCTCGGGGGTTCGGGTCTTGAGGCTTGGCCGCCCACCTGGCCAAACGTTTTATTTAAGTTTTTGCATTGTTTAGACCTATGCGTATTTGCTTTGGGTGCGCTGAAGGCGCGGCGAGGGTCTGGAATGGGGGCGTGGTTTGAGGGCGCTCTTTGGCATCCCTCAACTTATGCGCGCTGCTCTGTTTACTTTAACATTGAAAAAGTTTTTGTATATATATTTTTTTATTTTAATTATTTTTTTTTTTTTTACCTGTATTTTTTTCGTAGCTTTTGCAACTGAGGCTTTTATGCCTTTCGCTTTCGAAAATACAAATAAATATAAAAATGTCCCTTGCCTAGGTGAGAATGAGGCGCGCTTTTCTCTTCCTATATTAAGGTATATATATGTGTGTATATATATAAATTTATATGTAAGTCACATTGTCCCGAGTTGAACAAAAGGTCAATGAACAATTGACAAAGTCGCGCTGCTCTTGGCTGGCCGGCATAAATGGCAGTTAAGAAGTTTCGTTTTATGTTAGTTTCGCCTGCAGTTGCCAAGTGCCATTAAAATCTCGGCAATTCACTTCAGTTGTTGTTGCTCTTAGAGAGACTCTCTCGTTCCATAACTATGCAGCTTACGAGCGAGAATTGCATTTATCACAGTCGTCAATTAAAACTAGACAAGCTGTCAACTTCTTGTCATTTTACGGCGTATCTTAGCTTGAGTTTAATTAATTGTTTAAGAATTATCGAGTGATATAGAAAAGAAATACATAAATATAAAATAGTAAATGCACTAAGAGAAATAACTAAAGTAATACAAAGTAAAATAGAGCCAATGCTTGATAAATTAATTTATTCATTTATTTATTGATATATTTAATTTTTTAACTGTAGAAATATTTTTATTTTATCATTTTTTATCGAATCTGAATTTTAGTTATTATTTCAACTAAAATTTGAAATTTTTTTTGTATTCAAACGTATGTTTATTAAATTTATATAAAAAAATAAAAATAAAAATAAAAAATTAAATAGAGCTTTAATACAATTTTTATTTATTTTTATCTTGCTTTGTAATATTATTATCAATAAAACCTGATATTTTTTTTATAATTTTCGATGGCAAAAGAAGCTAAAAATAATTGTAAGATTTTCTTATCAGTATTTATAGATATAAAAATTTCTTTACGAAAATACCTTTTTCTGACTAATTCACGGCGTATTGCCAAATTTACGACCTGCCGCTTGAAGCCAACAGATATCGCTTATCTATATTTGGCATATTGCTTTCTGATTAGACATGGACGGAGAACCTATCGATGGGGCTCGCTCTCAGTACGCATTGTCCACTGGAAAAGCTGACAGCAAAGTTCGAGAAATGGAGGCCTTTATAATATCGATCTCCATATGCTTATCAATATTTATCCTTGTTTCGATTATAACTCTAATTGTGCGAGCGCAAAAGGCGAAGAACAACGTGGGCTTTGTGATCACTGATGGTATGAAATAGAGTTTTTATATTGTTTTCCATATCTATATATAATATCTCCCTTGAGCAGCTAACAGGGCTCCCATACCTCCAGGTGGAATAGCTGCTACCCATGGCCAAGCAGCGGGTCTGCCCAGCTACTATCCACCTCCTGGCCATCAAGCACACGTTTATTCACCTGCCTATGTATACCCAGCGCGGACCGTGAGGTAAGCTACACAATAATGTTTACATTAAAAGCGAACATTTTATCTCAAATCTAAACTTTTCCAGCCAAATTCAAGTGCAAGTGCAGGGCATTCCCGCTCCCATTAATAGGTAATTCAATTTTTGAAGCAAGAATTTGTTATATACATATTTATGTGTATTTTATTTACAGCGTTCCACCAAGCTATCAACGTGCTGTAAATGAGGGAAACCCGACTAATGCAGAGCTAAATATTTTACCCACCAGCCTCGAAAAATCTTTAACTCAACAAACCCACCGAGGCGCAGTTGAAACAGTTAGCCAGATTTAGTCAAAACAGTTTTAATGGCATAAAGTATTAAAACACTGTAAATATAAATATATTTATTATTTATTAAATACTTATTTCCTCATAAATAAATTAAACTATTAAGTATACACTAAATATCTTTATTTGAATTTTAAAATGCTGGTATGCGACATAGCTGGTCACACTTGAATGCAGCTGTAGTGTTATCGATATCTAGGCTAAACGATATATTACACGACAGCTGCCAGGACGGCTCTCTTACTATAAAATATCTTTCTTTATATAAAGCATAAGCTAAATGTAATATTTAATTTATACCTAGTCTACTAACTCAAATAGTTATTCATAATCTACTTCATATTTTTTTTTATATAATATAAAGAATTTCATCATTTGGTATTTTTAGCTATTTTAAGGCTAGCTTTTTTAGACCAGACCAATTAGTGCTTCTTGACAACTCTATTCGAGAGGTCTTCGCTGTGCAAACTTCTCGATTGCAACTGTAATTTTCCAGTCGGAAAACAACGTATTATTTKATTAATTAATTAACAAATTGCAAACGCAGTGACGTTTCAATTTCATTAGAAAAATGTTGGTCAACGAAGCCAGACAGGTCTTGAGCCGCGCCAGCTCTTTGGCAGCACGTCATCAGGTGAGCGAGTAAAGCGCAGTAAAGCTCTAAGAAAACCTCCTCTGGAGCCGCGAGGGTGTACGAAGTCGATTTTTGGGCAATATTGTTATATAATAAATAATAAAAACATAACTAATACGCGATCGTATCTGATGAAATGCAAATCAAGTGCGTCGCACAAACAACAAAATTTGCGATTATGTAAACATTTTCGTCAAAAAAAAAAATTTTTTTTTTCTATGGCGTGACTCTAGCGCCAATTATTTATCAAATTAACTCAGTATCGCTTTTCTTTTTTTAGTTGCGCGCAATCAGCAACACGACGCAGCTGGAGCAACAGGCACAGCCCAAGGCAGCGCAAGAGCCACAGATCAAGAAGTTCGAGATCTACCGCTGGAATCCAGACAATGCCGGCGAGAAGCCCTACATGCAGACCTATGAGATCAACATGCGTGAGTGCGGTCCCATGGTGCTGGATGCCTTGATCAAGATCAAGAACGAGATGGATCCGACACTGACGTTCCGTCGTTCGTGCCGCGAGGGCATTTGCGGATCGTGCGCCATGAACATTGGCGGCACCAACACGCTCGCTTGCATCAGCAAGATCGATGCGACCAGCCCGAAGCCTCTGAAGGTGTACCCGCTGCCCCACATGTATGTGGTGAGGGATCTGGTGCCGGACATGAATAACTTCTACGAGCAGTACAAAAATATTCAGCCCTGGCTGCAGCGCAAGTGAGTAGCAATGGGATTCAATATGGAATTTGGATTAATAACTCGTAAATCCTGCACAGAAACGAAGCCGGGGAGAAGAAGGGCAAGGCACAGTACTTACAATCTGTGGAGGATCGCTCCAAGTTGGACGGCCTGTACGAGTGCATTCTGTGCGCTTGCTGCTCCACCTCATGCCCGTCGTACTGGTGGAATGCCGAGAAGTACCTTGGCCCGGCTGTGCTGATGCAGGCCTATCGCTGGATCATTGACTCGCGTGACGAGAACTCCGTTGAGCGTCTGAGCAAGCTGAAGGATCCCTTCAGCGTGTACCGTTGCCACACCATCATGAACTGCACGCGCACCTGTCCGAAGGGCTTGAATCCGGGTCGCGCCATTGCCGAGATCAAGAAATTGCTCTCGGGCTTGGCCTCGAAGCCAGCGCCCAAATTGGAGACTGCGGCGCTTCACAAGTAGACGAAATGCGTGAAGCCTTTTCTGTGACTCTGTGAACTCTTCAGTCGATCCCCGCAACACCCCCAACTAGTAGCAAACTATAATGATAATAACCAACTATATCATTTGCTTATTGTGTTTATAATTTATTTAAGCTTAAAGTAAACGAAAATTGTTATTACAGTTTGTAAAGGGAACTTTGTAATCGCAACAGTAACTAACTCTTAACTAACTAAATGGTGTATCTATGCAATGCCTTTCCATTTAGGGTGCTGTGGGCGAGGTCTCGTCGTTCATTTGTATATCGTCCGCCGAGTAGAAATCCTGTGTAACGGGAATGACACGATCGTTTGTCTCATCGTCCTCCTCATCGTGACTATCGGTGTCCTCACTGTCATCGTTGGCTGTGGGAAGCAAATATGAAAATCACACCCAATGTTATTATGCTCGCGACTTACCATCCTCATCATCTGTTTCGACGCCAGTGATAGTGTGCACCTTACCCAGTGGCTGCAAATCTGTAGCCGCAGTCTTTAAAGATTCTCGCTAAGGTAGAAAACACAATTGTAATTCAATTTAATTTCAATGTACACATATTTATGTCAGACATACCCAATTCCTGCGCTCGTCCTCATAGCGCTTTGTTTGCATCTCATCATCGGATGTCATATCAAACCAAAAACGATTAGCCACGGTTGGCTTGAGATTAGGAAAGAATGGAATCATAGACATCTTCGCAATAATTTAAAATATTTTCAATATTGCAATTCGGCGTCTATTTATTTTTGCAGAGAAATTTTTGCGACATTCTGGCAACGCACAAACATATCGATAATGAAGCCATTGCCAGAATTAGCAGTTATCGAAGTATATTTGTTGTGCATTAAAAAGGAGGAACACAAACATGATTGAGATAACTTGCAATGACCGTCTGGGCAAAAAGGTAATATATTTGCATTTAAACAAACCACAAATTAATGTTTTCAACTGTTTGGCAGGTGCGTGTAAAGTGCAACCCAGACGACACAATTGGGGACCTTAAGAAATTAATAGCGGCACAAACTGGTACAAAGCATGAGAAGATTGTGCTGAAAAAGTGGTACACCATCTATAAGGATCCCATTCGCCTATCCGATTGTAATTATACTTGATATTGGTAATCTGATTTAGTTTATATTAATATCTTGCCATTTATGGTACTTGCAGATGAAATTCATGACGGCATGAATCTGGAGCTCTACTACCAATAGGCTACTCGGTCCAAGAAGCTGTTGTACCTATACAAAAAGTCTTTTATATTCTATGATAATGTAACAAAACATAACATATTAAATGTAAATCCTGTTTTTATTTAAGAAATAATAAATTTATAGTGTTTCTGTTAACAATGCTAACATAACATAGGTACACAGGTATATATCGAAATATTTGTTGTAAACGATATGTGGACAAAATATCGTACCTGCCACTGGGTACAGTCTATCGATACATCGTAAACGAATCGTCTCACCGGCAGGGGGGTACATTTATCGAATCACTCGTAGTTTTTCTGCTGTCGGCGTCGGACGTGTTTAATTTGCTGTTGAAAATCTATTAATAAATAATAACAGCCGACAATAAAAACACAAATTGTGCAAAAGCACATTAAATAGAAATAAATTCTTGAGCTAATCGACTTGAATGTGTGAAAGAGTAAGTGATTAATATTCACAACGATTGTGTATTTGTGTGTGTGTGTGTGTGTGTGTGTGTGTGTGCCGCATTTCCTCCAATTGGCACGCTACGAAAAGTGAAGAAAAAAATTCGACGCGGCGTTTGCTTCGGCTTTTGCTGACGCACTTGCGGCTCGGAAAACTTGTTTAGATTTTCACGCATATCACCGAAAAAAAAAAAAAATAAACGAAGATAAAATAGTAGAGTTGAGAGTGCCTTTCACCGCGTCGCATTTTATTGATTAAAGCGAATTATTTGTTTGTTTATGGCGTGGTTACCTTCATTCTTGTTTATTTATTTTTTTTTTTGTATGTGTTGCCCACCCTGAGTGCCCTTAATGAAAAATTGTGGTGCTTCGCATGCAATTTGCCGACTTCTTTGCAAAGGCCCACCCGGCAACGCAGCTGCCCGTATTTATTTTTAGATCTATGTTGCGCTCTCATTGCGATCTAATTAAAAATCTAGCAACTGCGCTCATTTCCACACGCATTGCATAATTCTGTAATGTTAATGTTTTCGGGCCCGCAAACCGATTTGTTGTTGAGCAGTCGAGCGTTAAAGAAACTCCGTAGCACGAACGCACGCACGAATATGTAAACCTGAATGTGTATGTGTTTGTGTGTGTGCGTATGTGCTAAGAGTTTCGTTAGATCTTGTTTCATTACCAATTGTAATGCTCGTTTGCTCGTTTGTCATTTGGCCCCCTGTCCAATGCTCAATATTAACTGAAATAAATTTACATGGTAAACAATCCACGCCCGTCACACGCACACATACATAAACAAACTATGCACACACACATAAACAAACTATGCGCACACACACATAAACAGACAAAAATTGCTGCAAACGAAAAGAATGAACAATTAATGTTTGGAGTCAAACGTTAATTGTTTATTCTTTTCGTTTGCAGCAAAACTCTTAAGCTATGATTGGAGAGCCCTATCAAATCGAGACGCGCCGGCGTTCGCGTTCAAAGACGCCGTTCCTGCACTCCGACTGCGACCAAGACAATTGTGAGCGTGCCGGCACAGAGGGGCATATGAATCACAAGAAGAAGAAACAGTCTGTGGCGCCCAATGTGCAGTAAGTATACTTGAGCATATCAAAACATAAATTCCTTCGATAGCCCCAAAAATAGAGCACTCATGAAAATGCGCTGCTTATCAGTTAGCCTACTGCACAATGTTTTGAAGAGCGGAGAGTGGAGAGTATCGGAGAGTTAAAAAGTAACGTTACGTTGGGCGATTGAACCAAACAAAGGCGCGTCATAAATACGAATAAACACAGATACCAATGCCAGCCAAGCAGCACACGTTCAGCTTGTGTGCATTAGTGTACGTGAGCATGACGTCATCGCCTTGCTATTCACACTCGGCGCGAAAATTGTGTTTTGGAATCGAGCAAACAGAAACAAAATGCTTGGCTAGAGATGCGCTAACAGTCACTGTCAGTAATCACAGTGAGGCAGTCACCATCTGCTGCGCTAACTGTATATAGGCAAATCAGGTGGCAACGCTGTTAAGCAGAGTGAATAAGTAATTGAAAATATGCAATTAATTTGAGAAAACTATATTGCAAATATAATTCATGACCAAGCATGTGTGCTGGAGTGAGAGTGAGAGAGAGAGAGAGAGAGAGAGAGAGAGAGAGAGAGAGAGAGAGATATGGGAGATGACATCACTTCTCTTGCGAGCAAACACGATCAAGCACATGTGATTCATTTGCCAGCGATAGCAGAGAAAAACGCGTTCAGCTCTGATGAGAGTAACATATACAGGGTCTTTGACTTGCCATACAGGGTGCGCTAGCGCGTCTAGCTTCGAGCGTTTGTTTGTTTGTTTTTGGCGCGCGAGTTGAATCAAACATGCGCTTTGTGGTTTTATTTCGTTTCATTTCGTTGATGACGACATCAGCCGGGAGGCGGAGGCAATCTGGCCATGAGAGCGTCGTTTTCATGTTAAAAACCAAATGCCTGCTTGCTGGTTTTTGTTTTGCTTCTAGTCGTTGAAGGTCAGACGCGTTTCTATTTGTAAAGCATTTATGAGCTACCATATTTTGGGGTTTGTTTTGATTCAGATTTTGCGTTAATTACGCATGGGGGCTATCATATATCTGACCGTTTAACTTAACGTTTCCGCTGCTATCAACTAACTTGTTGGCTTATTTACAGAACCATTATGGAGGAACACGTGGTCGAAACAAAGATATCGAAGACAACTAGCAGCGGCAGCATCAGCAGCGCCACCATCACCAAAAGCGACGCCATTAAAACCACTCGCTCAAAGGCTGCGGCACAGCTGACCTCGGACTATTCGAGCGAGGATGCAACGCCAGAGCCTAAACGCAAGGCTGCCACGGTGACCACCATGATCACCAATACCGGCAAGCGCTTCAACGATGCCCTCAACAGCCTGACCGCTGTCACATCGACGCCGCGCAGCGAGTTGGAGACGGCACAGAATGTCTTGAATACCACACAGGAGTTGCATCAACAGCAGCAGGAGCAGCGCAAAAGTCGCACACGTTCCAATGGCAATAGCAAGGCTAATTTAAGCGATGATCATTTGGCCTACATCGAGTACAAAAATGCGGGCGAGTACTGGAAGTAAGTTAGCTGTCAGGTGGGGAGTCCAGAGAGGCCTTGATAAAGCAGTCAGTTGCTTTTGTTCTCTCTAGGAAACTGCCAGTCCAGCTCTGATTTCGATTTGTGTGCCTTGAGTCTAGTGAATCGAAAATAATTGTGTTTTTTTATTTTGCTTTGCAGCAAAACACCGAAAACTGATTATACGTATTCAGAACTGTCGCCACATCGGCGCCAACTGGCACCGGGAATCGTCGCAATGCCGAACATGTCACGTCGCAGCCTGGAGCATCATGATCAGCGCGTGAATTATATGGTCAATCGTGATCCAGCTCAGGAGGAGTTCATACGCCGTCGCTATCAGGCGAACTATACGCACTTGAATTACGACTCGGCCGACGAGGTGGACGACACACAGTTCGACAAGCAGGTGCAGAGCTGGTGGCTGCTGCGCATCATCACCACCATCGTGAGCAGCATCAGCAGCGTGTGGACCAGCATTGCGAACATATCGGAAACGGAATCGAGCGCCTATCAGAGCTACTATGCCAAGCGCGATCGTCAGCCGAAGCACGGCCTTATTGCCTCCAGCCTGTTGAGCTTGATGCGTCACATCTACATCGGCATCGCCTCGGTGCTCAGCCTGGACACTTGGCTGCTCAGGTCCAACAATGCGGAGAACAAGTGGAAGAAGCGTTTCTTGCTCTCTCTGCTCCTACTGTTGCCAGTACTGATGGTAGTGGGTGAGTGTAGACCTATGATAATATATGTAAACTATTAGATAAGTATTTATTATATATTCAATGTAAAATCTGTCAACGCGTGCACACGCCTTGACATTGAACGTCAGCCAAAGGCTTACCTTGAATGGCGGCTACCACCAATGCTACGAGTATATAATGTGTAGATATATACATATATCTCTCTGTATACATATAGTTCACCTTTCTGCTTGTCGCCTCTGGTCGTTGACAGCCATATGACGTCAGCAACAAGTTGCTTGTGCGCGTTGCGGTTGTTGATATTGATATGGAAATTGTATGCATAATTTGTATGAGAAAACTCAATAGAACGGGATTGATTGATATTATTAGACATATGGAATGCTTAGCATAGTTAGCGTAATTTGCTTAGTTGATCTTATTGTTGGGTAGAAAAGTAAGAGGAGTATTACTACAGAGATATATGAGAAATATATGGGCAGACAAATTAGAGTTGATTTGTATGATTTAGATTGAGTTATATGTGTAAGATATACGTAAACATATTTATAAAGTGTGTGTTGAGAAAAATGAGTATTAATGATATATATTCAGATATATATGAAAGAATCTGCCTAAAAATTGATAGACTCTTTAAAAGTAGATTTGATTCCATAACAAAGATTATAGATTGAAGTGAAAAATCAACAATATGACAACACTATAGAAACTTAAACAAATTATATAAAATAATAAAATTCAAGTTTAGATACAAACATTCAACATATTACACATTTTTAATAAAATCAAATATAGTTAATACATCGTTCATTACATAAAATAATAATTTTTTTTTATTATTATTTTTTTTGTTTTGATAAAATAATTTTTTGCATACAAGTAGAAAAACTTTTGAGACTTCCATATCAAATAGTGTTAATGTTTGCGTTAAATTTGAAAACTTATCACACTTCATTTTATCTTTTTTATAGTATTGAATATTCTAAGTTATATTTGCTAATTTTGAAACTTTTGTAACTTTTCAGGTCTGTTCTATTATCTGAATCCCCATGAAAGCTTCCCACCCAGAAAAATTAAAATTACCATACTTGAACTACCCGAATTCCCGAAGATCGATATTGTGGCCCAATATGAAAGGCTACGTTCGCAGGCCATCGATCAGGCTGTGCGCGTGCGTGACTGGGCCGATGATTATTTGGTGTATCTGAAAACTATCGGCCAGAATGTGGCCAGCAAGGGGCGTCAGTGGTTTCAGCCGAACGTCTATTACGATCGTGTTTAATGATTATTTTCTGCAATTCTGCTTTCGTTTTGGCCATGAGCTGCTGCAGCAGCTGTTGCTCTGATGGCAGCTCGAAAATTATTGTTTTTTCTTATGCGCGTTAATCGAGAAACTTTCAAGTCTTAAATCAAGATCAATTCAAGTACAAATTCAAGCATTTTGCTTAGCATTTCCTAAAAATCGACAAAAACATTGCTCACCTAAGTTCATGTTAAATTTTTCGTTTGTATGTTTATATAATGATCTTTGACCAACTGTACATGTATATACATATATGCATATGTATATATAGATATATATATGTTTGTGTTCGGTCTGAAACCCACCAAATATTTACACCCACATCACTCACACACACACCCACATGCATACTTACACTTTCATACTTCCCCCCTCATCCCTTACGTACCAAATTCCCCTACACCCGCCTACAATATGACGCAATATGGAGAAGGATAGAGAGAGAGAGAGAGAGAGAGAGAGGGCGAACAAACTCGCTTCGCTGTTCAAATTGTGAAAAAAAGAAAACATAAATATTAATTTAAAAATTACATTAAATTCATTCTTTGTTGTTGTACGCCTTGTTTTTGGCCACAAAAATTTGAGCTTTGTGCAATTATTTATAATTAATTATAAAATGATAAATTGTACAAATAAATTTGCGTCTGTTCTTCAGATTTGTCGCCAATCGCAATTTCGTACAACGTTTGAAATAAACTATTTTCTTTGTTGTTAAACAACGTTTCAATTGTAACCTTTCATTGTTTGCCATTGTATTTGTCTATCAAAAATTAAACAAGAGCCCTCAATTTATTATAATAAATGCAAACAATTTCATAATCATTGACGAAATACAGTACAAAGAAAAAAAAAAAAGAACAGAATATTTTGCAAAATTGTAAATTGTTTTATTTGCCATTTTATTGAGCTATGCCACGCGATTGCAATTGCGAGTTGAAATGGTAAGTAAAATAATAATTACGAACAATTTCCCATTGAACAGAAACTCTATCCTTCTGCATTTGTGCTCATTGGCGTCGCCCCGAAAATTCCCTATCGAACAGTTCCTTTTGACATGTGCTGTAAGAAGAATCAAAGAAAGAAATCTAAAAAGTTGCAAATGTAGAAGGATATATATCTGTTGAAATGCCTCTGCCCATTGCCCGTTGCCCAGGACTAATGCTTGGACTCCTTCTCTTGCAGGTTGGCAGCAGTTGCCGGAGCAGCAGCGCTTGGAGATGGCGCATCGCACTGAGGCGCTGCTGCCTTTGCCTCTGACGGCCTATGCCTCGCTGCGTGGGCGATTGTTGCAGGCTGGGGCTGCTTTGATGGCGCTGTGGCTGCCACGCGAGCAGCAGGAGGCGGCTGCCATTAGGCTCAATATGGAGCAAGTGCAGCAGAGCATGCAGAAGTCGCTTACCCCGGAGGAGTATGAGAACATATTGAATCATGTGAACAGCTATGTGCAGCAGCTGGTGGAGCTGAAGCTGCAGCAGCAAGCCAAAGAGCAGCAGCAACAGCAGCAACAATTGTCGCCGCAACAGATACAGATCATAGTTAAGCTCATGCGCGAGAATCTGCAGCAGTTTCCGGATCAGCGGGCGCAGCTCAGTGAGCAGCAGCTGGCTGACTTGGTGCTGCGCTTAAAGCTGGAACTGCAGCAGTCGGGCGAGTGGCAGGGGGGACAGGTAAAGCTGACGTCCGCACAGCTGCAGGAGATCACGCGCTTGGTCAAGGCCGAGTTCAATCTAAAGGAAGAGCACTACACGCTGCTGCTGGAGCGCATCGACTTGGGTGCGCTGCTCGAGCGGCTGCTGGGCTCACCAGAGCTGGCAGAATTTGTCGACGCACGCATCAATCTGGGACTGCAGCAGCAGCAAGCCAAGGAGGAGGGCTCGGGCCAGTCGAATGCGGATCAGCAAATCGAGCAGCTAAACAGGGAAATTGCATTCATCAAGCTGGCGCTCTCAGACAAGCAGATGGAGAACGCCAATCTGCAGCAGTCCATCAGCAATCTGAAGCTCACGCAGGACGATTTGCTGGCGCGCATGCAGCAGCACGAGCTGGCACAGGATCAGCGCTTCAGCGGCCTCCTCGCCGAGATCGAGGCCAAGCTGGCGGCCTTGAATGAGTCGCAGTTCGCGCTGCTCAACAAGCAGGTGAAGCTGACGTTGGTCGAGATATTGGGCTTCAAGCAGACGGCGGGCGGCAAACTGGATGATGTGGATCTGCAGAACTGGGTGCGCAGCATGTTCGTGGCCAAGGACTATCTGGAGCAGCAGCTGCTCGAGTTGAACGAGAAGACCAACAACAACATACGCGCGGAGATCGAACGCTCCAGCCTCGTCCTGATGAGCGACATTAGCGAGCGGCTCAAGCGCGAGATCCTGCTCGTTGTGGAGGCCAAGCAGAATGCCAGCTCCCAGTCGCTGAAGGCGCTCATGCACGACGATGAGGTGCGCAACATAGTCAAGTCTGTGCTGGCCGTCTACGATGCGGATAAAACGGGCCTGGTCGACTTTGCCCTGGAGTCGGCGGGCGGGCAAATTCTGTCCACGCGCTGCACCGAAAGCTATCAGACCAAATCGGCACAGATCTCCGTCTTTGGCATTCCGCTCTGGTATCCCACCAATACGCCCAGGGTGGCCATATCGCCCAACGTGCAGCCCGGCGAGTGCTGGGCCTTTCAAGGATTTCCCGGATTTCTGGGTACGTATAATATGTCTATTAGAGAGAGAGAGAGAGAGAGATTGCTCATGGTAAACCATCTATTCAATTGCAGTGCTGAAGCTCAACTCCATGGTTCACGTCACGGGCTTCACGCTGGAGCACATACCCAAGAGCTTGTCGCCTACAGGGCGCATTGATTCGGCGCCACGCAACTTTACCGTTTGGGTGAGTCTTCAATACAAATTTATTATATTCCCCTACTAATTGCTTTACTTTGCAGGGACTGGAGCACGAGAAGGATCAGGATCCGGTGCTGTTCGGTGAGTATGAATATCAGGATAACGGTGCCTCGCTCCAATTCTTTCCCGTACAAAACATGGACATCAAGCGTTCCTACGAGATCGTCGAGCTGCGCATCGAGTCGAATCATGGCCAACCGGACTATACGTGCCTGTACCGCTTTCGTGTGCACGGCAAGCCGCCACCCTCCTCATAGATACCTAGGAGCTTAGGCTCCACCTCAGTCAGGTGTACATAATGTCAGTGCCTTAAAAAGGAAACTTTACAATACTTACAAGCAGAAGAACTAGAAACAGATGCAGGAGCAGAACAACTACTAACAACATAAGCTTAAGAATACGTTAACTACAAATAAAAAACGTAAGGCTATAGCGTTTAAGTGTTTTTGTATGATACTTAAGTCGGGGCAGTGTGTTAACCTTAACCAGCATATGTATATATATATATATAGATATGTATAGCTTAAAACTAATAGTAGATGCCTCGAGTCGTGTGCAGTGTGTCCTATAATATTTATTATGATTTAGTTTTTGATTAGTTCGCTTATTTTTAAAATATTCAAGTGTAATTGAAATTATTTTTAAACTGTTTTTGCCATTTGTAGAACGTTCTGAACTTAATAGTCATAGGCTAACAACTAACCTAACTAAGCCATTTACTTGCTATATATATAATAAATATATATATAGCTATAGATGTAACTTTAAGTTATTCTTAGGTTTCCATTTTTTATACATGTTCAGGTATGAATTGTTTGTAAACTACGCCATAGAAATTGGATTGAAAACGGAATTGATACAATAGCTGAAGCCTAACTGAAACTCATTGAAATGTCGCGCAATAACAATATCAATAACAATAAATATCTCATTTGTTTATAGAGTAGTGAAGAATATATATGAAACAGAATTTACATATCTCGAACCCAGCTACATTTCATCAATTTGTATACGTTCATAACTAATTTATATGCTAAGAAGTTGAACCCAAAAATAGTTAGTAAATTAATAATAATTTTAATATATTATTTATACACACATTTGTTGTAACTTTTAAGTACAAACGTAATAGCCTAAACAACCCCATAATAATTTACCCAGTTTCAACAGTTTGCAGTCTCTCCCGAGTGAATTTAAATAAATGCGTTGCACAAATTAAATGATCATCATAATTGTTAATGCAATTGCAGAAGTAAAAAGGCGAATTAATCTCGATTTATAAGTTTTGCACGGCTTAAAAGTTGAAAAGTGCTCGAAGCGCAAAGTGCGCAAGTTTTTCGAATGGAACTTTTCGATTAATTGAATTTTGAGTTGACTTTGCCAACACAATATATATATATGTATATACTCTATATGTATATGTGGGCGCACCGTTATAATTTGTTGTAAGCTCATTAACGTCTTGACGGCATTCCAATTAGAATTTGGCCGTGTGCGCCAAGACAATCTGCTGCCTGGCAGGCATCTCAATTCCAATTTAATTTGTTGCACATGTGCAGATTGTTATTTGACAGCATTCCACTTGGCCAAATTGATGCAGCAATTGCAGAGACTGCAAGATTTATATATACACACACATATTTTTTTTTCCATATATACATTTAAATATTCCACGCACTTGACGTAAACGGGGAAGCCATTAATATGTGTATGTGTGTGTGCCTGTGTGTGTTTGTGTATGTTTGTGTGAGCTTGTATTTGTATCTGTGCATTCATGTTTTAGGCAAAGCAGCTGGCAAAAGGAGCTGCCAAAGGAGTTCATATTTGTTAGCAAGCGCAGGGCACGCACTTAATTAAAAGCCGCCACCTCCTCCGCCTCACCGACTGACTGACTCTGGAGGTACAAGCTCACGCTGTCAGCCAGTGACTGGCGGACTGGCGGTCTGTTTTTTTGGCTGAATATTTGCTACATTTTGGGCAAGGAATCGCTTGCAAAATAGATGAAATTGCAGTGCTTAAACTTGCTGAGAGCTATGCAAGAGCTGGCCATTCTGGTTGAGGGAGCTCAAGAACGTGCCAGGAGGCTTTTAACTCAACCTAGAGATGAGCGCGTAGGAGAGTTTGACTCTGGGCTTACCTCGATTTAGTCGTTGAGCTGACAGCTGCTAGTTATGGAACTTCTAGAGAACTGAATTTTGGCTGCGATAGCTGGAGGGGAAGAGTAAAAAACATATTTGCATAAGTAAGCAGATTTTTTTGTTTTTTGCTTTCGAAGTAAAATAAGTTTTCGATACCTCGAGTTATATTAAAAAAAA